CCTAGGGCTGTGGCAGACAGGGCTTTGGAGGTGGTGACAATTAAGGTGTGCAGAAGTTTCTTTTTGAGGAGATGAAATTGTTCTAAAATTGATTGCAGTGAGGATTGCAACTCTGAGTGTACTAAGAGCCATTGAATTGTAGACTTTCAGTGGATGAATTATATGGTGTTTTGAATTATATTTCTATAAAGCTGCTATTTAAAATAATACCAGGTAAGTCACCTGGCTGGTTTAGTTGTTGGAACAAGTGAATCTTGATCTTGGGGTTGTGAATGCAAGCCCATGTTGGGTGTACGGTTTCCTTAAAAATAAAATCTTTAAAAAAAATTATAACACCAGAGAAGACCTTGAAATCCATTATTAGTAGACTGTTTTAATAATGTATGACACACCCATATAATATGTATAACTGAGCTATTTAAATGAATGAGATATTTCTATATAGGCCGTAAGGAAAAGTTGCCAAAAATATAGTAGCCATCAGTTGGGATTTTTGTTGTTGTTGTTCCATAGAAATCAACTAGCTAATTCAACCCCTTTAGGGGACATTTGTTAATGTCTGGAGACATTTTTGATTGTTACGCAGGGAAAGCTACTGGCATCTGGTGGGTAGAAACCAGCAGTGCTGCTAAAAATTCTGCAATGCACAAAACAGCCCCTCAGAACAAAGAATTATGTAGCTCAAATGTCAGTAGTCCTGGGGCACCTGACTGGCTCGGTTAGTGGAATGTAGGACTCTTAATCTCAGGGTTGTGAGTTTGAGCCCCACATGGGGTGTAGAGCTTACTTAAAAAAAGAAAGCCTTAAAAAAATTTATCAGTAGTGCTGAGGTTGAGAAATGCTGAACAACCAAAGGGCAATTCATTGGGAAGATATGGGTTAGTTCACAAAATTGGACGTAAGGCAGGAGAACCAGTCTAGAACCATGAAGAAGCAGCCACCCCAGAGAATATTGTTAGCAGGGACATTCCTCATGCTTAAATGGGTTCAGCAATGGAATTCAGCATTGTTTTTATTCTACTCAGTTCAAAATTTAAGGATGAGGCATCTAATCAGTCTTTCCTGTCACTTAGCTAAGAGTGGGCAGTATACCTTGAATGAATGAAGGCAGTTCCTCAGAAGGAAGTACATTCATTAGCAAGTATTTATTGACTATATGTTTATGTTTCAGGTTTTATTTACGTACTGGGGATAGAGTACAGCAAAAGAGATGAAAAGACCCTTTTGGAACCTATATTAATAAGACACTAAATTGTGGCAAATCTTTAATTAATAACTAAAGAAGGTAGGATAGTTGCCAAACACCAAAACCAATAAACACTAAGTACATATGAAGTGAAAAAGGCAGGTAGCTGATAGTATGTGTGTGTGTAAATACACACACACACACACACACACACACATATATGTATATATAATCCCATTTACTTGTTTTATTTTATTTCATTTTATTTTAACTTCAGGATGTAGATGTACAAAGATTTGTAGAAGGATACATAGGAAATTGTTTTTTTAAAAAATATTACCTCCAGGGGTGCCTGGGTGGCTCAGTGGGTCCAGCCTCTGTCTTCAGCTCAGGTCATGATATCAGGGTCCTGGGATCAAGCCCCGCATCAGGCTCTCTGCTGAGCAGGGAGCCTGCTTCCCCCCTCCTCTCTCTCTGCCTGCCTCTCTGCCTGCCTCTCTGCCTACTTGTGACCTCTGTCTGTCGAATAAATAAATTAAATCTTTAAAAAAAAATAAAAAATATTACCTCTGGATGGTAAGACTGAATATGGGGAGAAGAGCATACTTTTCATTTAATTTCCTCATAATGTTTTCATTTTCACCATGAGCATGTATTTTATAGTTAAAATTTTTTTCATTTATTAGATTAAAAAGTAACAGAAGAAATCCTTGGTGCAAGTGAAGGATGATTAAAAACGTTTAAAAAGTCACAATATTGGGGTGTTTTGCTTATTATGGAAAGAGCTGAAAGGAAGAAAGAACATCTGACTGGAAAGTATGGCCTGTCATCATTTAGCAAATATTTGTTGAACACCTAGCTGCCTTAAATTTTTTTTGGAAAAGATGGAGTAAAAATAAACTAAATATCAAGCAGCAGCCATGTGTGAGGTACTCTGTGAAGTGCTATATCTGGGACAGGATGGAAATTTGGAACAGATCTGACAACTGCCCTCACCGGTGCTTCTTGGCATCTGTTTGTCGAATACCAGATATGCGGCATGCGCTGAACCCTCTACACACATGACTTCAAATCCTAACAACAACCTTACCAGAGAGGTATCTGTGTCTCCCGTTTTATAGATGAGAACCCTGAAAAGTGGGAAGATGAAGTCATAGCAGATAAGTGGCATAGCTGACTTCACATTCACGTATGAAGACGTATCTGACTTCACTGGAGAACAGTGTATGAGTATGTGAGTAGTTAAATAACAAGAAAAAAAGAAAACAATTTATTACAAGAGCAGTCACAGGACTAGCCTTGATTAATTTTTGAAGAATTTTATTAGATAAGTATTCCAGGAGCTCAGAGAAGGAAAAAGAGATTGCTGCATACTGGTGGTCTGGGCAGGCTTCCTAGTTGGGGAAGTGGTTTTGTGTCTTGTGTATCGTATCTTGAAGGAGTATATAGATACATGAAGACAAAGAGTGTCAGCTTTTATAGAATGCCTGCTTGAGGCTGGAAACTTCTCACCTAAACCCCATAGTCTCATTTGAGAGTTGAGAAAACAGAGGCCTTTTCTTACCTCCACCCGCTGCCAGGGACAGGCAATTAACAGGCATAGTATTTGGCTATCTATTAGGTGCAAAGTGAAATTCACTGATACAGCCAAACACTTACCTCTATTTTATAGCTTCTGTCTTGGGTAGGTTGAATTAATGATACAAGAGAAAGTATACATAATAAACTAATAAACCAGGATATACCCTCTGGGAGAATAGATATTCAGCATATGTACTTTTCTTCTACTTAGGGAGTTTGAAGCCTTTATGAGGGTGTTTTATCTAATTTGATTCTCTACAGCTGAAATCTCAACTTGGTAATTCTGAGGAAGGTCATCCATTCAGTCATTTGTTCAACATTTCTGGAGCTCCAACTTTGTACCAGACACTGTAGGAGATACTGGGGATACAAAGATATGAACCATACATGGTTACACTGTTCTGGTCATCAGGTTGCTTACAATTTCATGCAAGAGACATGTAGTTGTATTTATAATATATGGAAATGTGAACCAGTCTTTTTGTATCTACTCTGAGAAACCCAGGAGTCTTCCTTGAGTTTTTTTTCTTCCTTACCTCATCCTCCTAACTTTCAGTCAGTCACCAGAATGGTCCATTTATCTCCTAAGTATTTCTCAAATACAGTTGTTTCCTTTCTTCTTGCCTTCACCTCAGTCCAGTTGACTGTCATCTCTTCCTTGAACTACTTAACAGCCTCAAAATGGTCTTCCCACATTTGCTTTCACCCCTCCCCAACTGATTTGAAAATTGGCTTTCCAGTCTGCTCTTTTCTTCCTTTGAGTCTCCAGTAGACTGACCTTTTAAGAAATGTAGAACTAAAAAGAAAAAGAAATGTAGAACTGATTATGTTATCTGCTTAAAATCCTTCTGTGGCCCATTTAAATCCTATTGAGAAAGAGCCAGTAAAAAGCATAAATTTAAATTTAGCCATTTTGGAGAAAAATGGATTAGTTAATAAACTGTACCTCCAGAATCTAAACTTCATAAGGACAGGGACAGGGACCAAGAAACCATACTGGTTTTGTTCAATACTATATCCTCAATATCTAGCACAGAGGCTGGCCAATGGCAGGTGTTCAGTAAATATTTATTGAAGTAAAAAAAATTTTTTTGAAACCCTTCTGGGGTGCCTGGTTGGCTCAGTGGGTTAAATGTATGACTCTTGGTTTTTGGTTTCAGCTCAGGTCAGGATCTCAGGATCATGAGATGGAACCTCATGTTGAACTCTGCACTCAGTGTGGAGTCTGCTCAAGATTCTTTCTCCATCTTTCTCCCTGTCTCCCACCCCCCCACTCACAGGGGGTGGGTGTGCACATGCATGCACTGTCTCTCAAAAAAATAAAGGACACTTCTAAGGCTATAGTGAACCCTGTAATATTTTATTAGAATTGGAGGCATTGATACAAACTCATGATTCTATAGATATAAACACAGATGTATGCATAAATATGCTTTTTAGCTCTGTTGAGAGAACCTAAGATGATGACACCCCAGTGAATATATCAAATGGTATCTCAAATCAGGCTCTTTCTAGAGAAATTATCTCTTTGCTAATTCCAAATCGGGGCAGGAGAAAAGTACATGAGCTGGAACATCTGCACTGCCAGAAAGTAGGGATGGCTCAAAAGAAAGACCTGGCAGTCAACCTGAAGGGATTCCAATGAGACAGGAGACATTTTGAGTAACAAAATAATAATAGTAATGAATTACAACTCCTGGAATAAAATATGAATCCATGAGTTATTGCTGATAAAAAGTAAATGAATAAATCAGGGAAGAAGGAAAAAAAAATCTTCCTTAGAGAAGCATTACAGCTAATGTAGACGAGTTGATGAAAAGAGCAGATCACCATTTGCAAATACCACAGAAATAATTGATGCAAGAATTATTAATGGATGTGAAAATTATTGGATAATGTATGTTGAGAAACAGAATATTCAATATAAAATATCTTCCCAAAAATGGGGTGCTTGGATGGCTCAGTTGGTTAAATGTCCGACTCTTGATTTCAGCTCCTGTTGTGCTCTCATGGGTTGTGATCTCACAGATCATGATCTCACGGATCGTGAGATCAAGCCCTGCAACAGGCTCTTAGCTCAGTGGGGAGTCTGCTTGAGGATTCTCTTCCTCTGTCCCTCCCTTGACTCTCTCTCTTAAAGAAGTAAATCTTACCAAAAAAACAAAACAAAACAAAACAAAAAAAACTTCCCAAAGATAGTTAAGTAAAAAGTGAGTAGTTTTACAGTGAAGAAATCTGACAGACACTATCATGTTCACTCTGAAATGATGCACCGAGAAGGACACATCACTACTTTTGTGGTATTATTGCCAAAAATATAATTTGATCATGAGGAAACATTAGACAAACCATAATTGAGGTACATTTTACCAAATAACTGGCCAGTGCTTTTCAAAAGAGTCAAGGCCATGAAAGATAAACACTGAGGACTATCCCATATTAAAGGAAACTAAGGAGACATGACAACGAAAGCAATGCGTGATTCTGGATTGGAATCTTAAAAGGGATATTAGTGGAGCAGTTGGTAAAATAAGGTCTGTATTTAGGTAATAAGTATTGAATCAATTGATTTTGATGACCTGACTGTGGTCATTTAAGTTATTAACATTTGGAGAATGTGGTTGAAAAGTACAAGGAGATTCTTTTTTATAATTTTGCAATTCTGAACTTCTCTCCAAATGAAAAGATTTTTTTAAAAAGCAAAATAAAATCCTACTTCTAATGGCTTTATAATGCCCTTGCTTGCTTACCCGTTTCCTTACTTACAAGCTCCAGAATGTGGCTACTGGCTTTCTTCTTTAGTTCCCTGGGCACACTGTGCTACCTCCTCTCCAGAGCCTTACGGTAGCCAGAAGTATGCTATTCTCTTTGCATAGAACATTCTTCCTTTGAACTATATCTTTTTGTTCTTTAAGGCTCATTTTGCTTACTTTAGAAAACATTCTGACCTCTTAATCCAGATCCTGACATCATATGGTTTCATACATCTGGTACTTCTTCAAGCATTTTTATCACAACTTCTACGAAATTATTTATCATGATATTGACTAAGACCTCACTCACTGGAAATTAGTGTTTATAAGAGTTGGAGGGATTGTATCTTCTTGCCCAAAGTTATTTCCCTAAAGCCTTATACAGGCTTTCAATGACTATTTGAGGAATTAATGCAAGGCATGCAGTGGTGCATTCCTCTAATGTCTGTAACAACTTGGGTGAGGGATGCCTGGGTGGCTCCCTTGGTTAAATGTCTGCCTTTGGCCCAGGTCATGATCCCAGGGTCTTGGGATCGAGTCCCACATCAGGCTCCCTTTTCCTGCTGCACTCCCTGCTTGTGCTCTCTCTCTCTCTCTCTGACAGATTAAAAAGAAAAAAAAAAAGAAAAACCAAACTTGGGTGACATTGAATATAGGAGACATTTTAGGTTTGAGGAGATGAAGGTGCAGACCTGAATTTGTGGCAATGACAGAAGAGGATAGAAGAGTCTTATCCCAGAAGGGGCTGTATGACTTGAGAGAAGAGAAGGAAGAGTAAAAAATGGCTCAGGTTTAATCATCAGCTGCATAAAGGTGCACAGTTGAAATGGCACTTGAGTCACTTTTCCAGCAGTATTTTTTTAAAAGTGTGTTCCTGAATATTTGAACATGAAATCTGTTTATTTTTAATAAAATGCAGTATGCTCATAGTAAGATACTATGTTACATAGTAAAACTTTGTGTTTTAGTGAAAATACTAATTAGCATACTAGTTAGTATATTTGATATACTAAACTTTACTAGAGTATTTTAATTAAAATGCTGTATACCCATGGTAAAATACCATGCACCATGATGAACCTTAAATGGTAAAACTGACTCTATGAGAATACCTGAATACCCCTCTGTAGTGGCTGCCATGATGCTTCAACTGGATCCTCTCTTCTCACTGAAGTGCTCATCCCATAGCTGATGGAGATACTGGCTCCTGATCATGGAATGTGAAGCTTTGTTTTTACTGGGCATTGCTTTAGGATGCAGGGGACTGCCTCACTTCAGGTTATGTTCCCTGGAGACTATAGTCAGTGACTGGCTGATTTAAGATGCAAAGATTTAGCTTCTTTGCCTTATTTGAGGCAAGCCTGAGGGCCATTTCAGCTCCAGAGTTTATCACAAGATCAGCTGAGTACTCAGTTGTAACCACCTTGGGGGCTCAATATATCTCTCCTGACTTTTCCTGCCTTCTTCATTTCATTGTAAATGTAGTTGCCAGTTGTGTCCTATCTGCAATAAAATATTTGCATGCAAAACTTGGTCTCAGAAACTGCCTCCAAGGAACTCAATGTATGACACAGTCTAATCTGACTACCCTCTAAAGGCTGTGATCATTGGAACCTCTGTGTGTGTGTGTGTGTGTGTCTGGGTATTCCACACCAACAAACAACTTTTAAAAAGTCATAAGATATATACAAAAAAAGTGCCCAAAGTAAATGTACAACTTGATGAATTTTCCAAACTTGGCAGTAGTTTTTTTAAAGATTTTATTTATTTACTTGAGACAGAGAGGGAGAGTGCATGCACCACAGGGTGCGGGGTCTGGGGCAGAAGGAGAGGAAGAAGGAGGCCTCCCACCAAGCAGGCAGCCTGACCCGGGGCTAGATCCCAGGACCCTGAGATCATGATCTGAGCTGAAGGCAGACTTTTAACTGACTGAGCTATCCTGGTGCCCTTCTGCAGTACTTTTGTGAAAGAGAACAAGGAAATGATGTTGGATAATGTGAGAACCACTTATATGTCCAACTTCCTCATGGTGGAAATTTTCAGAGAGAGGGGTGTATGGCCAAGGGAAGTTGGAAGTTTCTCAGATTTTAAAAGAGTAGTTATCTTTTGGTTGACTGTGGTACACTCTGAAGTGAGAGGAGCACTCTTTTTTTTTTTTTTAAAGATTTTATTTATTTATTTGGCAGAGAGAGATCACAAGTAGGCAGAGAGGCAGGCAGAGAGAGGGGGGAAGCAGGCTCCCCGCCGAGCAGGGAGCCTGATGTGGG